GGACCCCGACACCTGGAGCTGGGGTTGCCCGGATAGCCCCAGCCCCCCCGCCACCCCCGAGCAACCCCTGCCTGCTTTCTGCCTGCACTACTTCGACATGCTCTACTCGGACGACATCGCCTGGGCCACCAAAGGCATGGGGGAACCATCCCAAAGCGGTGCCCAGGGGGGGCGAGGGGAGGTACAGAAGGAGCCAGAGCAATGTCCCATCATCGACAGCCAGGGCATGGGGCTGGGGGCCGAGGGGGACCTCCAAGCCAACCTGCACCTGGAGGAGCACTCGCTGGAGCAGGTCCAGAGCATGGTGGTGGGCGAAGTGCTGAAGGACATCGAGACGGCCTGCAAGCTCCTCAACATCGCTGCAGGTGGGTGCCCCCACAGCCCGCCCTGGGGGGCTGCGGGCAGGGTCAGCCCCGCTTTGGGGTGCAGCGAGGGAGCGACGTGCTGGTGCGGGGACTAAAGCCGTGCTGCAGCTCGGGGGTTTGCAGCCAGGCGCTGGGGTTTGGGGGAACGCAGTTGCTGCCCGGTTCCCCCCCAGCATTGCTCCTGGGTAGGGCTCTTTGCTAACACCCAGGGATGGCAGCAAAAGACCCCTCTGCCCTCGCTGGCTGGGAGTTAAGCTGGGGCAGGGGTTAGCAGAGCTTTATGCAGAGCCCTGTGCTGGGTGTGGGGTGCTGGTGTGACCCAGCTGGTGCCACAGAGCCAGAGGGGTGCAGGGACAGAGTGATCCGATGCTGAGCCCGTCCCCTCCCCTGAGCTGGGGGTCCCTTCCCCTCCCAGGGCAGCGCTACCGAGGTGCCTTTCAGCCTTGCAGGAGCAAGGAGCAAACAGCACGACTTTTATTATCCTTTTCTCATCCCATTTTCCCTGGGACGTTAGGAATGGGCAGATGCACGTGTGGGGTTGGGGACAGCCTGGAGCCAGCTGATGTTGCCCGAGCTGGGCGTGGGGTTGGGTGCAAGGGGAGCAGGACAGCCCAGGACCGAGTTCCCAGGGGTATCGCTGCCATGGGGCATCGCTGGGGTATTCTCGGGGCATCGCTGCCGTGACACAAGCAGTCTCGGGATGGACTTTGGTTCAGGCAGGCTCTGCCACCCGCTCCCTTGAAGCGTTTGGTGTCACCTGGGGTGGTGCAGGGGGCAAGCGGGGCTCCAAAAGGCTGGGTGAGGCATCCCGAAGCGAAGGGGGTGGCGAGGGGATAGTCTTCTCCCTGGGGTACCAGGGCAGGCTGAGAGCGGGGTGCTCCCATCCTGGTGGGTGATGCTGCAGCGGGGCTGCTGTGGGGTGAGCTGAGTTTCCCCGGGCTTTGCCCGGGCTGTCGCTGG